ACAACAACGACAACCACTGAGCCTCCAACCACCACAACGACAACCACTACAATCAGCACCACTGAGCCTCCAACCACCACAACGACAACCACTGAGCCTCCAACCACCACAACAACAACCACTACAACTAGCACTGTGTCACCGTCTACTACTACAACAGGTACCACAACCAGTATTCCAACAAATAAGAATTAAGCAATAACTGTCTATACTTAATGATAACAATAATGTTTTGTAAGTGTTGATGTGATTCTCATTAACCGAAGGTAACCACTAGTAAAAATTCAGATATTTCAAGATGGACATGGAAGCTATAGACAGAACTGTCCTAGCAGCAGAGATTTATTTAATGTGTTCATCCGTGTTTAGCCTTCCAGAATTTCTAACAAAAATCATATGAAATATAGCACTAACCACAAAAAAACTTCCCCTCTTTCTGAACAGTATACATTTAAGCTTAGATACCCTTCCACCTGTTAATTTAAATGTAACTGATATTTTAAAAATATGTATTGTCCTTTGATTTTGAACAAGGTTTTTTTTTTTTTTAGATTTAAGAGTAAAATAATAGTTGTGAATTTATGTGAAACTGAGGTGAATTTAAAGGTCCTGGGATGTAGTAATGTTATATAATATAATATACAATCTATATTTATGTCACCTAGCATAGTTTGGATTCATAGAACCTTATGTCAAAGCGATCATTATCACAAGAGGCAATATGGTAGTGTCAGCATATGTAGTTAACATAGTAATGTTTTTACAAATGACTGACATATTTACATCTGATTTCCCTATCACTACCACCACAGAAACAACTACCCCACAGACGCCTACCACCACCACCATCACATCGACGACTACCTCAGAGATAACTACACCCTCATTCAAAACAAATTGTACTTTACCTGATAACACTACCATTGCAGTAAGTAAATTTCACATTTTTATTATATGTCTGTGAAAGGAGACCATATTGTACAAATATATGTGCAATTTAGAGGATGCTATCTTGTGATATTTTAATTCATTCATTAACATAGTGATCCTCTGTTATGCTGGGTATATAAAGATTTTTCCATCTATGTCATATTAACTTCTTGGCTATTGTCATGGCACTCAATGACCCTTTCTCTCATTATGGTAGCTTAGACACTCATAACATTCTTTGAAATAAGCTCTCAAGTGGCATTTCTTCAAGGGATTATATCACAGTGCAGAGCTGTGAAGGAGCTTTAGTGAAAGGGAGAACACAAGGTCTCTTACCAGGAGCAAATTCCACCTTCCATCCCTTCCTCTTTATCTTTCTAGTATTTGTCAGAATGATTATGCCAAAGTATTAACTCATCTACCAACCCAAGTCACTCATGAACTGTATCCCTGATTAGATTTAATGGGCCATATCCTGAATAGCACAGAGAATGTGTTGAAAACCTGGACCTCCCACTGAAGTCAATAGCTCAGACCCTCTCTAGATTGGCCCAATACCTTCTCAATCTGTAGCACATGGCTGCTCTCTCCTAATCAGTTGAAAATGTCTTACTCTAAAACAGTGGTGCTCAGCCTTATAGAGACAGAGATCCTCTTCATCACCAAATGCAGTTGCAGGGAGACAAAAATAACCATGCTATGACATACTGACACTGTAACATCATCCTGTATTGTCATGATGCATGGATGTGAACATCTCAGGACATTGTACCAGAATTACCAGAATGCCAGTTCATTTTCTTTTTTGCCTCTGTGCTCTGCCTTGCATGCATCAGGTTGCATGGGGACCACTCCTCTGATCAGCAGGCCTCTGAAGCCAGGGATAGCAAGAGGAGCTCAAATCAAACAAATTTAGGTAGTGCCTTGTGAAGTGCTCTGAAGGGGTGTATTTGCCTCTAGCAGCACAAGGTTGGAATCACTGCACTAAAGACTTATTAAAGTTTTTACAGGCATGGTATATTCACCTGCACCTTTACTTTTTGCTTGTGAAATGTGACATACAAAATACATTTGGATCCATCTATTGGCTGACTGATGATACTGTTTCCAAAAAGACTATTAGTAGTCAATAACTTGGGTGCAGCTGCTGTTTTACAATGTGACCCAGGGAAGGGAAATCAGAATAAAACCTTGGTGACTGGCATTGTGCTCATAATAAATCCTTTACAGTTAATAATTAACAATGCAGCAATCTCATTTTACAGACCTTGATGACGGTACTGAATGTGGTGCTTTATTCGCACTTTGAAATATTTGTTTGGGATAAAGATGTTGGCAATATAAAGCTGTGTAAAATATCCAGAAATATTATTTCCTTTATTAGTCTGATTGCTTCATTGTAGATATCACCATTTCTCTCCCCCCCTCCCCCGTCTTAAATCCAGCCAGGTGAAAGCTACTGGCCATGTAACTGCACCAAGGCAATATGCGTTAACAACAAAACATGGGAGCTGGTTACGACTGTATGTGAACTTCCTCCTAAGCCCAGTTGTATCAATGGGCTCGCTCCTGTGCTGGTGCAGGGTGAATGCTGTTGGCACTGGGAGTGTGACTGTGAGTATATAGTTGGAGGGATATTTTTATCTCTGATGGACCAATAATAGTTTTAAGAGCTACAATATTTGTAGTGGGGGCAAGTGCTGTGCAAGTTTAGCCCATCATATCCTTAGCAATGCAATTCAGTCTTACCTGTAGTACCACTTGCTAGCTTAGTCCTGGGTTCCCCCCTAGCTCTGCCACAGCACTTGCTTTTAACAATGTTTCATGAAATGCTATATTCTTTAATCTTTCATTTTACCTTTTTAGTCTATTAAATTATTTGAATTATTCAATTACAAATTAATATGTGTGAACCCTTGATATAAATTAAGGTTAACAATGAAAAAGTGCATTCATATTTTGTTCTTCAAATTGTTTGGCTCTCGCAATTTTTTCTTTATGATATAATCTACACAGACCTGATTCTATCACTTAGTTACTCATGTCGACTGGTAGCTCATTACACAAGTAGTCCCATTGAAATAATTTGGCGTAAGGTACTACATGGCAGGAGAAAAGTGGTGGAATGTGGCCCCTATATGATTACATTAAAGATGAGTCCAAGCTGCTAAGTTTGGATCCTGAGCCAGCTGCTTGACTTTATCTTGAACTCTTTGATCCAGAAAGCTCTGGCCTACTTGTGAGATTAATGGCACTTACTGATTTCAACTTGGTAGGAAATAGCAGAACAGCCTTTTTCAGAGAATGTTTGACGTTCTGTCTGAAATCTGGAGATCCAGAAAATGGAGAATGTAAACAGAGAAAGAGAGAGAGAAAGAAACAGTTCAGCTTCTTTAAATACAAAAAAAGTTCCAGTTTGGGTCCAACTGAGTCTTAGATTAATTCTCTTTACTTATCTATAGTTCACTTCATTCAGGTTCTCTCGTTCCTATTTGACTCCAGTGCTAGTAGGGTAAATTGGTCTTCCACTTACTAAAGACTTTATTCATAGTCTAGCTCTGCTTCTATATGTTACCATATACAGCTAAACTAACTCTGAATCTCTTGGTAGGTTATTGCACTGGATGGGGAGACCCACATTATGTGACCTTTGATGGACACTACTATAGCTACCAAGGGAATTGTACATATGTCCTGGTGGAAGAGATTAACAAAAATATTGACAACTTTGGGATCTACATTGACAACTATCACTGCATTGCACAGGACAGAGTGTCATGTCCACGCACACTCATCGTGAGACACGAGACCCAGGAAGTGCACATAAAGACTATCACACTGTTTCCTCTCAAAGTACAGGTATTGGAAAGTGACTAATAAACCAAATGTACATGCTCGGACTGATATTGATATACAGCTACACCTGCCCTCACTTAATCAGATTCACATCTTTATACGCTAGTGGCACTCAAACCTGATAACTTTGGTGGCAGCAATGTTAGGAAAATGGGATAATTGTTCTGTGGGTTGCTTTGAAGGAGTTTTATAGGGACACTACTTCATCTGCATATAGAAAGAGATCATCCCCCTCATCCCATTTTTAAACTCAGATCTTTACAATCCCCGGACCCTTCAAAACATGGATTATAGGAAGAATCCATCTTATCTGACAACATAACATGGAATACTGTATTATGACTTTTAAGGATTTTAATGTAGATAACAGCCCAAAGGAATAAATGTTATAGTATATCAAAGGGTTTCCAATGAGCAAGGATCATCCCATTGTCCTTGTAAAGCAGGATTGAGGGAGGGCATTGGATCATTTTGGGGTTTGAACAAGAGGACACATTTGAATTAGAGATGGGAATCAAAGTAGTAGACCAAAATGTTTCTAAAAGACATCCTCAACAGGCCAATGGCTTGGTGATCGTAGTCACACCTCAAGATGGGTTAAGATACTTCCATTTCTGATTTTTCAAGTGAAGGGTTGTCATCAGTTTTATGTCATCGTTTAGCCCCCATGTTCCAAGGATTAGGCTGTGGCATGTAATATAATCTGTTTTCTTCAAAATGTGTTGTAAGTACTTACTTTTAGGATTCTTCACCTCCTTATTTTCCATCAGCAGCTCTCTGCTGACTTTTGGACTATTAAGGTGGGGAATTTTAGAGGTGCAACTACAGGTAAAGTGTTGCAAGACTACAACATAGGTTAAATTCCCCATTGCCTTCTGAGACTGAGCAGAACTTATCAGTCCTAGATGAACTTAAGGGGGATGCACTAGGCCAGTGGTTCTCACACTTATTTGATCTGGCCCAGCTTCTTTGTGTCCATAGTCATTTACGCGCCCTCCCCACAAGTACATGTACTGCCACCCAGCTCTGAAGGTAGAGCAGACAGCAGCAGCTACTGGCCAGGCACCCAGCTCGGAAGGCAACACTGCACCAGCACAGACGTCAGGGTGGCAATGTGAAAAGTGATTTTCGTCAATATCACTTTTCACAGCAGACTTAGAAGTAAAGGTGCAGCAGTGCAGAAGTAAGGGAGGCGATGTGAAAAGTGATATTTGTTTTCACTTTTCACCGCAGACTTAGCGCCCCATTGCCAGCCTTCTGCGCTACTGCTGCCACCCGGGGGCTGAGAGCCTGAGCCACACTGCTTCCATGTAAGGGATGGGGAGGGAGAGCCTGAGCATGGGCTCCTTCCCAATGAGGGATTGGTAGGGGGGGAGCCGGAGCCTGGGCGGTGGGACTCTGGCTGTCCCCTTTATCCCCACCTCCCAGGTGTGCACGGCCCTTCCGCACAAGCCCCAGCCACCCAGGGTTGACAGCCCGAGCATTTAAAAAACAAACAACACCCCCCCCCTCCCCACAGACCTCCCTTGACATATTCCTGCATCTCCCTTGGGAGGCCCACCCCATAGTTTGAGAACTGCTGCACTAGGCCCACCACCTGGTTCTGAACTAGTAAATACGATTTTTTATCTCCCCGTATTTCATTCAATTCCATTTTCTAACAAATGTAGATCAAAGGCTTCCCTTTCTTTGGAGCGTTTTGGGGAGAGAAAGAAAATTTCAGCTCAGGTGCAGTGAAAATTTAGCATGCATCTCCTATGACGTTTAACAGGGGCTGCATTCTAAATTCCATCCTCATTTCTCCAAAATTCTGCCAATGTATCCCCAGGCTGATGTACCCCTTCATTGGGTCTTAGAGAAAAAGTTCAACGTTTCAGTCACATACGCAAAAACATACAGCTCATTAGAAATAGAAAGCAAGGAAGCTTTGAGACATAAACACAACATTACTTTCCTTTACATTGTATCTCCAATGTAAGTTGGATAGATTGTTTTTATGAACATCATACAATATGTATGTCTCTTCTCCATTTTCCTTTAAACAATAGGTGACGGTAAACAATCAGGAAGTGGCTACACCTTACAAAAAATACGGCGTGAGAATCTTTAAGTCAGGCATAAATTACGTAGTGGAAATTTCTAGACTTGGGGTAAATGTAACCTACAATGGATGGACTTTCTCAATTAGATTGCCCTACCAGAGGTTTGGCAACAACACCCAAGGACAGTGCGGTGAGGATCTATTTTTCTACTTTTAGAATGAAATTTAAAAAGTTAAATGTAAGCTCTGGCAGTAAGAGAGACGTGATGCTGGTTCTCTGTGATGGATGGAAATACAATGATTATTTGATAGTGAAGATTTGTGTGTGAATTCTTCTTCCTCTTGTCAATTGTAGGCACTTGTACCAACAACACAGCAGATGACTGCATGTTACCTGGTGGAAAGATCATAGGTAACTGTGAAACCATGGCAGATCATTGGGTGATTAATGACCCCGAAAAGCCACACTGCTCTCCATCCCTAACAACTACAGAGGCACCTCCTATCACCCCACCATCCTGCAAACCATCTGATCTCTGCAAGCTCATTAAAGAAGGGTAAATATACTAGACGTGTGTACAGACCTCTAATTTGGGAATTCAGTGGCAATCTGAAATGCAAATATTTGGTGTTGCTTCATCGTCTCTTGTAGCTGCTTCTGCTCCTTCTCTCTCTTCCATTCCCTCTTTTCCATTCTCTCTAGCTTCCCTCCTAATCTGTTTTAATCTTTGCAACTTGCTCACTGCCTTTCAGCCTTCTTTAATGATTCTTTGGCCCTCTCATACTCTTCTGGGCTCCCTTGGCCTTCTCCAGCCCTTTCCACTTTGCTCCTCTTCCATGCTCTCTCAGTAGATGTTGGTCCCCGGAAGATCCCAAAGGGATCTTGTGCTTGAGTTTCAGGATGTGGCTTCAAAAAGAGGAAATTCCAACCAAGTCTTATCCGCAACTCTAATTCATGGCTACACTCAATTATATTCCTCCAGCTACTAGGTGGGAAGTATTATTTTGGAGAGAGAGTAGTGGGTGGATAGTCTAAAGATTAAGGTCTAAGTGGGTTGGAAGGCTGCACTCCAGCAAAATGTTTATTTATCATTGATGAGTCCTGTTCAAATCTTCCTGTATAGCATCGTGCTAAAATATGGCATACAGCATATTAAAGTGAGCACAGATCATTCAGTAACTAATAATGATACATGTTTCTGCTTCTAGCCCGTTCAAAGCATGCCATCCCTTTGTCAACCCTGACCACTACTACGCAGCCTGTGTTTTCGACAGCTGCGCTCTTCCCAACTCTAAATTGGAGTGTGCAAGTTTGCAAACCTACGCTGCTCTCTGCGCTGACCAGGGGGTCTGTGTTGATTGGAGAGGCCATACCCGTGATATCTGCCGTAAGTAGAGACATTTTTCTGCCATTTAACTTGAACTATTAGTTGTAGGGTCTATTTCAATTCCCCTTCCGTTTATGGGTTACTTGGCTCTCCAAGTCGCTAATGACTGTAATAAACACCAAAAGCTTTATTGAAATAATTTTACAGGCCAGATTTCAAAGGTGGGGGAAATAGATGAGCCTGTAAAAATTCATGTGTGCTCATTGTGTGTGGAATGCTCTACATCTGTTTGAGCAAATGCCTGTGTGCCTAGTGTGTGGATTTTGCAGGCACAATGGGTGAATCTACGGGCTGGTCCACACTAACCCCCCAGTTCGAACTAAGATACGCAACTTCAGCTACGTGAATAACGTAGCTGAAGTCGAAGTACCTTAGTTCGAACTACAAGGTACTTACCGTGGGTCCACATGCGGCAGGCAGGCTCCCCCGTCGACTCTGCTTACTCCTCTCACGGAGCAGGAGTACCGGTGTTGACGGCGAGCACTTCCGGGATCGATTTATCGCGTCTAGACAAGATGCGATAAATCGATCCCAGAAGATCGATTGCATACCGCCGAACCCGGAGGTAAGTATAGACGTACCCTACATATTTAATGGGAGACAAACTTTTTTTTGCTGGTGCAGCGTGGGAGCATTCCCATCTTCAAAAATGTGGCTCTTAAGAAACGCTAGCAAACAAAAGTATTTGTATTCAGAAGGTCAAATCCTGTCCTTACCCTGGCACAACAGGATGAGATGTTGCTTTGCATATGTTTTTTAGTGTAAAATCACCTACCACCCAGAGACCCTGCAATACCTGTCTATTTGCAGGAGGGGTCATGGATGGATTTTTCCCTCTTAAGTCTGAGTTTCTGGGTTTTTATGGTTCTCAGTCAGACCTTCAATGTTATTGAATGAGTCTGACATAGATTTAAATCTATTTGTTTCCAATGTTTGTTTGAAGATTGCAAAAGGTGTACACTTGCTGGGCCTGCTTATGATGGTCTTGCTGAAATATTTCTTTCTCTGTATTTCTTCCATTCAAGCGCTTAAGTGCCCATCACACAAAGTATACAAAGCATGTGGTCCTATTGAAGAGGTGACCTGCAAGTCAAGGTAAATAGTTACTTTCCTGCCAGTCAGGTCCCCTGCAACTACCCACTGATAGATAATCCACAGAGAAGTGAGGAATATCCAATTTAACAATCTTGATTTAAAATAGAAATCTTTGAGACAGCCTTTAACTGGTTATCATTGTATCTGCCCTGGTATCCTCTCATACAGCTGAATCAAACACTGTATAGTGGAATAAGCTAAGATTAGAATCAGGATGATTTAAAATCTGTAAATTTCACATGTGCAGTTTCTTTTGCCCATACATTTCTGGATAAAATATATTTGGCCAACCTTCCACTGTGTGTCATTGATGATAATGATGGTCTTTTTTGTCTCATACAGCCAAGTTGCACAAAACCAAACCGGTCATGTGGAAGGCTGCTTCTGTCCTGCTGGAACAATGCCTTATGGTGAAGGTGTGGATGTCTGTGTAAAAACCTGCGGTAGGTTGTGTTACTATATTTAAATGCATGTGCATTTCCTTTTTGTTGTTGCCAGGTCATGTGCACAATATAGTTCTGAACCTGTCATCATATCAGTGGTAATGGAGATTTATTTTGCTCTATTTGCAGGGTGTGTTGGACCAGATAATAAACCAAGAAAGGTATGTTACACATTTGCTTTTCCATTGCAAGTATTTTGTGTCTCCTCCATATCAGTCCTGTTTTGTATAGACTCCCAGGTTTTCATCCATCCACTTATTTGGTAGGTGAGTGGAATTTTGAAAATCCTTGATTTATATTTATCTCAGCTTGAGTTATACATTAGTGGGAGATATTGTCTTTAGACAGCTCCTGATAATCAGTTTCCAGACTACACATTAGTTAATTTATAACTCCACTCTGCTCCCTCCTAACACATACATGTACACATGCTTACACTTAAACACACAGCACAGCCCATTGAAAACAACAGATTTATGTTTTTTCTATTCACTAACTATTCATTCAGTTGCTTTCTTCTTTCTTTAATGACAGTTTGGGGAAGTTTTTGAGTTTGACTGTAAGAAATGCATTTGCCTGGAAGGTGGAAGTGGCATTATCTGTGAGCCCCTCAAATGTCCAGCGCAAGCGGATAAACCAAGCTGCAGTGATGAAGGCTTTTACGAGGTCACTGAAGTCAGTCCTGACAACATCTGCTGCAGCATAACTTCCTGCAGTAAGTTCCCCTTTTGCTTCATTTACTGCACTCCTCTGTCCCCCAAACTTTCTTTTGCAATAACAGTTGCATTATTCATTTTTGTTAAATTAATTGAGATTAGTCTGTGAAGCCCAGGCCAGCTAAATGCTTGGACTGAGCCTGACCAAGTGGCATATTTCTCTCTGTAGCTGTTATTTTACATTTCTCTTGGCTTTTTCCCTTTGCAGGATGCAATGCGAGCTTTTGCACAACCATACCTCCTAAATGTAAAATTGGTTACGAACTTGTTTCCAATATTGCCACTGGCAAGTGCTGTCCTACGTATGAGTGCGGTAAGTCGCTTTTAAATATATGAGAACAGTCATTATTGCACTTTACATGCTTGAGCATTAAGGTTGGTAGCCAACACTGTGTGCTTCTCTTTTGGAGGAGGCAACAAAACCAGGCTTAGATTCTAGGTTGCTACCATGGGCGAGCCCAAGTGGTAGCTGAGAAAATGGTGGTGCAAGGTGGATTAGGTATAGCTCACCCTGGTCAAGTCATATATTTCTGGTTATATGCCTATGTAAGAATAGTGGGATTGTTGACCGGGACTTCAGTCCTCCCATAAGAAATTGTCCCTATGAACTTTAGCGATAGGAAAGGCAGATGATCATTCCTGGATCATTCCAATTAAACATATCAGGAAACGTTTTGCAACCATCCAGTGGACATCCTGGGATGTAAAACCTGGGATATAGATATTCAAACCAGACAACCTTTCTCTTTTGCGAGTGCAAATTGTACCTTACAATATTTGTGTCCACGTATTGCACAATTTGCACTGCAAAAAGGGAATCTGGGTGACACTTTTGAATATTTGTGTTGTGATTATTTGTGGAGGAAATTTGCATGACTGGGATAATAAAATTTGGCACTTTCCTTGCATGTATAACCATACAACTTCTGCCTTATTTCACAGTTCCCAAGAAGGTTTGTGTGGTTGGGAATGCTGAGTACATGGTAAGTTTCCATTTCTTCATGAGAAGGACTCTTGGATGAAACATTTGAGTCCCAAGAGCATCCTTTAATTGAAGTGCTTTGAGGCAGTTTGCATTTGGTACAATTCATTTTTAGAGATCCCCCCCGTCCCCAAACTGCAGTCAGGGATTTATCTGTTACACGGAGCCTAACACTTTTCAAAGAAAGTTGCTGCATATAAGAGAGAATGAAGCATTGGTTCTAAGCAGCAGCACCATGGATGTAAAGATTTGTTTTTAATACACAATGTACATATCCCTAAAAAATCAATGCACATTTAACATCAGCACTTTGCTGCACTATGCTAAAGCCTCGCTGTCACAAATAAAAAGGGATGGGTAAGGACCACATTCTGTACTGACTTACACCCCTATAATTCTATTGGCTCCAGTAATTATTTTATTTATTTAATACAGACAGGTATTAAGTTACCCACTTGTATGCACCATAATGCATGAGATGAATATTTGTCCTTTGTGTCTATGATATGTTTCCCTAGTGGATGTTTGTTTGTGGGGGGGAAGTATTGGATATTAGAGATATGTCTCTCCTACACATCACGCCTTGCTGATACCAGAATTCTTGCTTTTTTAAAAAAAAAATCTAGCCTGGTTCCCCAGTCGTTGCTGATAAGTGCCAAAATTGTGTCTGCACTGATAAATCGAACAGTAGTGGTCTGAATGTCGTCACATGCAAGCGCATTCCATGCAATGAAAGGTGCCAGCCAGTAAGTAACAAACTTTAAAAAAAAAAATTCATGTACATTTTCTTGAAAAGTAGCCATGATTGAGAGAGGTCTATTCTAAGTAAAGGAATTCTTAGGTCCTAATTCCAGCTCTAACATTGGTTCACCTTGGGCACTCAGTTTTCTGCATCTTAAAGATAGCAATAATAATACTTATGAGCATCATAGTCATGTTGTGAGGATTAGCTAACCGTGTTTTTAAAAATGCTTTGAAGATAAAGTGACATCTAAGCACAGTGTAGTTATTATAATGCCTTTGTTGCCTCCTTTTATTTTCTACTTTCATTATCCCTTTTCTCTTCACCTGGTGATCTCCATCTGTTACAAAACGCGACAGATCTAGATTATCCTTAAAACCATAATCAGTGCTGCTATTTAGCTGGGTTTTTACAGAGAGCCTTAATCTGGTGCTCAGACTATTACATTTTTGTTTGTTTCTCAAGGACACTTTTAACCTAGTGCTTTTTTAATTCCTAGGGATATGAACTTAAAGATGTGAAAGGGGAATGCTGTCCAAAATGCGTGCAGACCAAGTGTGTTGTAAATAAGGGTGACAGCACCGTCCTCATCTTGAGTGTAAGTGTGCTGCTGTTCTTAGGAGTCTACCAAACGTGTAGCATTCCTGTTGTATTCCTCAAAGTGTTAACTGGGAGGAAAGACATGGCAATTAGTGATGGGGGAAAGGAAAGGTTCAGTGGTTAAGTTCAGATGTGCATTTGAAAGTTCAGCTGCTCATCTGAAAGAAAGTCATCTGAATTTCTCTGATCTGGAAGATAGGTTGGAGATCTTATCAGATCAGGCTTTCTCAGAAATACTATGAGAAGAGCCTTTCTTGCAGTTTTTTGACCAAGAAGTGGAAAGGTGCCAGAAAAGCTTGAACATGATTCAATTGTGTTGCCCTTTTTGAGTAAAGGGCTATTCCTATTTAATATCTACCAGTTTACCCATCATCCCTAATCAAAATCTCACCCACTTATTTTTCCTTAGCTCCAGAATACCCTAGGTTCCACACAGGGATTTTTTCTTTCCCAAGGAAAATTCCTTATGGAGCTCCAAAGATCCCCTCCACCCATGGGACCCCACAATACAGTCACTACCCTGCTAACCATGGCAGTTAATTGTCTAGTATTTTTATGCTGAGAAATGAGGAGAATCTTTTTCAGAGGCTAGGAAGATTTCTGTCTAAGCCCATTATGAATCCTTCCGTGTATGCGGAATTTCCTTTTTGTATACAGCCTGGTGAAATGGAAAATGATCCAAAAGACAACTGCACCGTTTATAGCTGTGTGTCGATCAAAGGTCAGCTCATCTCCTCCACCTCAGAGATTACCTGCCCATCGTTCAATGAGGAGAATTGTAAAGCTGTAAGTAAATTTGGGACATTCACCCTCAACCCTTATGACAACGCATTTTAGTTTGATCCAGCCACCTTACCAAAAGACACGACTGGGCAGAGGAGCTGCTATAATTGTTATTATTGGGGCTCAAATTCAGCCGGTGCTGTCTGGAGTGGAGCTCTGGTAAATATTTTCAAACCTGTGGGGCGTGCCCTGACGTGCCCCGTGGCTGAAGCCCCGGCACCTCCTGCAGGGCTGAAGCCCCAAGCCCCAAATGGGGAGGGGTGTGGAGGGGCTCCGGGAAATAGTAGATAAGAATTTAAGCCCGGGGGGTTATGATTTTTTGTTGCACTAATTTACTTAAAGCATGCTTCCATCTGAAAAAGGGACATATGGTGCATATACTACATATTTATTGATGGGTTCTGAGGTTTATAGTAGGTAATTAGTGTCCCATGGCTTAAAAATTGACCAGTAGTGTGCTATAATGTCCTATCACACTATAGTCTGCAGGATCGAATTTGTATGAGACAGCATATTTTCATGAGTGTCCTGTAGACACAGTGATTGCAATAAATAAGGGTTACCCCACACTTATTTCCTATTGAAAGTATTAGGAAATACTGTGGTATGTCAGATTAAACAGCATGGAATTCATGGTAAACAGTAATTTGTAAGTGGTGACCATTATATGTCACAAGCCTTTTCTTCAGAGAATTACATATTGCAACAGATTCCTTTGTGAATTCATAGATATTAAGGCCAGAAAAGACCATCATGATAATCTAATCAGACCATCTGCATAGTACAGGTCACACAATTTCAACCAGTAATTCCTGCCATGGAACAAATTATTTTTCCCCACTGTGCATGCAGAACATTTCAAAATACAGATAATTTTGATAATACAGATATTTTTTTCTGATTTGTTTTCAGGGCACTATTACACTGCTGCCTAATGGTTGCTGTAAAACATGTGAGTATAATTACCCAGTGTTCATATAGTCACTACAAAACAAAATGGGGACCATTTTTCCTATCTAAAAGCTATTGCTAATATATATTAATTTAAATAGATGCAAGTACATTCATACTAGTTATTTTGTGGAGCACATAAAGTGTGCTCAGAACACAGTCAGACACTGACTCTGCCTCAAGCAGCTTTCAGTCTAAGCTGAGAAAAGTAAATTATTACTTTATTACTGTAGGCTGGCAGAAAAAGCCTTGGCTGAGTATGTGGTCACATAGCAGATTTTGTTGTTATTAATAAATCAGTGCTGCCATAGAGTGGGCTTTGCAGCAGAAGTGCCTTTTGAGACAGGAAAAGCAGGTGAAGGAAAGGACCTAACTCAATGGCATCGGAAGACATTCCTAATGTAGCTCACCTACTGTATTTATATATTTGGGGGGTTTTCTGCACTTTCCCTTCTGAATTGTTGAATTCAGTGCCTAATGCAGTGAAGTAGGCCATAGAAGTATCTAGATAAGAATTATAAGAGTTTTCTTTTTGGCCTTGGGTTTGAAACTCTGCCCTGTAAGCTGGTATGTTACAATTCCCTCCAGCAGTTTATTTGACACATCTCTAATAACTGGCTGCTGCATGTGGCTTGGCAAAACATGCACTTCAGCACTGATTTGGACACTAGTAACATTGATAGCACCAAACAGTAATCATTCTGAAATCATTGTTTTGATTTAATCAGCCTTCACTTTTCCCTCCACAGACTCCCAAACACTCTCACATAATTTGATTTTCTATAAACCTAAATAATATATGATAAATGAGCCATTCTCTCTCTTCCTCGCTTGTTTCATCATTTCCTTTGCCATTCAGTGGCTCCAATAAGGGACATGTTCAATAGACAGTCTGTCCTCCAGGCAATCAATAGAGAGCTAAAGTTTAAGGGGTAAAGCTGAGTGCTAAGGTGTTTGGCCTTTCTGGCTACTTTGAGTATTAAACACAGTTGTTTCAAAGCATCAATGACTCACAGCCTGTGATGAAGCAGCATGGTGTTTTTGGAGCCATTTGATTGAAGGGCATTACCACTCTTTTCTCCCACAGGCATCCCTCGCGACAGCCCATCACCGTGTTCTGTCACCCAAATCGTGGACCATATCACCCATAAGGGCTGCCGTTCTGTGGATAAAGTCTACCTGACTCAATGTGAAGGATCATGCGGAACCTTCTCATTGTAAGTAAAGTGAATCAGACAAGGAGACTGTTTCTATAAAAGGGACAATACATAGCCAGGCTGAAGAATGGTAGAAGAGCTAGAACTGGCTCAACTTCCAGTCTCATGAGTACTGAAATTTGTAACTGGTTTGGTGAAACTGGCTAAAGGGTTGATTCACCTTAGTAATGAAGTCCAAAGCCAAGGGACACAGGGGGCTGCATCTTTGCTTCCAGAGAGTTGTGTTGATTCCTTATTGCCTACAAAGCGAGAGCCAGCTAGGGTGACCAGATGTCCCTATTTTATAGGGACAGTCCCAATATTTGGGGCATTTTCTTCTATGGGTGCCTATTACCCCCCACCCCTGTCCCGATTTTTCACACTTGCTGTCTGGTCACCCTAGCCAGCTCACTTGTCATTTGTGTTAGAGCAACTTGGATATGTGGCATTGAGTTCATTCCCATTGCAGGAAATATCCTAATGGTAGCCATGTCTGAACTTCAACAGCAGAGAAGCTACTTTCCAATGATGAACATATAATGGGAGGAGGGAAAAGAGAGAGAGACTTTATTTAAATACACTTTGTAAGAAGGATTCAGAGGGAGACACTTGTGTAAATAACTGAAAAAAATGTGTGCTCAAGGGCTGTCCGTGACTCCTGAGATAATGGAGTCAGTATCATTGCTCTGGAGTGAGAGAACTTTGAAGAAACCAGAGGTACAGCTGCTCAAACCTAGCAAGAAACCTAGAATACAGCTGCTGAACACCATCTGACAAATTAAGTCTATAACCGTAATTTCCCACTGGAATGATCCTTTGCAGCCTATCACTGAATACAATTGGCAGCCCTTATCTGGAGGAAAACCCATTTTTAATCAATAAGGAAAATGAATTACAAATTCTTCATGGGGATTATTTATTTGTACTGCTGCAGTACTGACAGGCCCCAGTTAGGATCCCGATGGGGTAACCACTGTATATAAACATAAAAAGATGGCCTCTGACACAAAGAGTTTACAGTCTAAGTTAGACTGATCCTTACAGGATGGTTAGGGCTGGTTTCACTGGAAGGATGATGCAGGGAGGCTTATATTGCAGCTGGCTACACTACATCAGATCTGCTGTGCACAGAAAGTATCTAACTTAAATGGTTTGGGGCAAGGATTTCAAAGGGGCCTAAGGAAATTGGGCACCCAACTCCCAGTGACTTCCAATAGGAGTTGGGTGCCTAATTCCCTTAAGCCCCTTTCAATATCCTGCCCTTGATGGCTTGGTTTTTAAAACAGCAGACCACATTATACTTGAACCTGGGTGCCTAGCATTCCGCCAGCTGAGCTAAAGGAGCAGCTCCCCTAACTCACACCATCAGAGGGCCCCTTTTACATATTATTCCCAATTCCTTACAGCAGCTTATTCACCAAAATTGCTCATCGTACTTCATTTCACTCTCTCTCTTTCTCTCTCTACTGCATGCCAGTTTATGGCAAAGTGTAACGATATCTTTTCCCACACTAACAAACAGATACTCTGCTGAGGCCAACTCCATGGAGCACAAGTGTTCCTGCTGCAGGGAGGCAGCGACTAGCGAGAAGCAAGTTCTACTGGAATGCCCCAACGGGAAATCTCTGATTCACAAGTACCTGCACGTGGACCGTTGTGAATGTCTTGACAGTGAGTGCACACAACCCAGCTCCTCAGAAAAGTCAAAGGAAAGTGAAGAACAGAGTGCCATCGAACGTGTCAAGCGGGCCATTCAGAAAATATTGAAATGAAGGGGAGAAAAGTAATGGCGCACAGAAAAAAGTACAAGGAGGATCTATGCACCAGTCTAATCTTCCAAGAGTAAATCAATGCTTTGTCTTTTCTCACTTCCTCCTCTTCTGTGCCCTCTCTGATTATTTGTAATTGTGCTCTATTTATTTGTATCTCTTTTGTTTAGTTTTAAGTTAGTTTCTTTTGCTTTAAATGATTAAAAATTCATTTCAGACGTGAGAGCTCTTTGTGTTTATTCGCCAGCACTCTTGAGCCTTCAGGGCTTTAAAGGGAAGGGAGATCTGTCCCAGGCCTAAGCAGTAAAGTGTCAGATTTTCTAAGTCAGTTGAATAACTATTTTGGCTCTCTAAGCTCTCTATGTCTGTCTAATATCCTGGGACCAACAGAGCTACAACAACACTGCATACGACAATCCAACTCCCACTGAAGTCGACAGGAGTCTTTGCATTGATTTAATTGCGGGTGAGGGGTTAGCAAAAGGCAGTAATGCCTGTTTGTGCAACATCAGAAGCGGCTATCATATTCCAGCTATGTTTGTGTAACATCTGCCTAACCTACTCATCATGAATTAATACAATACACAACCTGGTTTGGTTTGATGCTCAACTAAGTACATCCAAGAGATTCCCACTTGAATACCGTCAATATTACCAACAAATTAGAAGAGATAATTTTCAAGGCAGATGAAAAATCCTGAAATCCTTCATCAGTTCCTTATTCTGGCAAATTCTTTTAGTCTTAAAAGTGTGAGTAAATACAAAAGTAATGACCCCAGAATATGGTCTAAAGCATTGAGACATTGCGCAAGTCAGTAACACACTAGTTTAGTTGACTGAATTTATTGATGAGTATAAAATGAAGGATATTGCCATTATTCTGCCAGTGTTCTTCATGAAATCATAAGTAGGTTTGTAAGGTTTCAGACTCTACTTTTTATACAACTGGCAGTAAAGGGACTCCATGAAAGTGCAGAAAATGCCTAGTAAGGGCTGGCAAGTGTACTGCTTGGTTGGCCACCTGGGAGATCTAGGTTTGATGTCCCAAGACAAGCACAGAGACAGAGTTATGTAGAGGCAATATGCTCAGTGCCTTTTGGCATTCCAGAGTGACTCCTCTGGCCCCATTAGTGAGAGACATTGATAGATCCCAAATTAAGTCCTGTTCATCCATCCATGGCTGTGTGGAAGCCTACAGGATGGCATGTAGAAAGAGAAGGAAATGAGTTACAGGACTCATGTACATTGAGCTGTGGGCTTAAATACTTGTCTACATTGGAGAAGCAGAGTCCATGGATCAGGTGCTTACCTCCCTCTAACAGGGTGGAAAAAGGTGTTGTCATTTAAAAATATATATATTCCACATCACCATGTTTGAATTTAACACATTCTAAGTTTATATTCGAGATCTAAGCATCATTTCTCGTTGCCATCCTTTCATATTTGCATCGATTCTTCCTCTCACCTTAAAAAAAACAACAACAAAAAACCTCCCCCCCCCAAATATTTCTAAAGAGCAAAGTTGTGTCACACACTTTAATGACAGTCTGTAAAAATGCTTTTGATAACAAGGCAGGTATTGGCTTCATCATTACAGGGAATTCTGGTGCCAAGAATGCAATGTTATTTAAGGGACGGAAAGCAAGCTTCCCACATAGACTTCATTGTACACAAAGCAGTTTATCCCTTGCTCATATGGAGTTTAAGTTTTGACTCTAATGAGTCCTGATATTCATCCGTATACCCATGCACCCCACAGCAGGCTCTGCAAAACATGGGGCAATAGGAGATGCAGATCCGCGCAGTTTGTTGGTCTTTGCAGTCCACCATTCTTGCTTACCAGATCCTTCCAGAACCCTGACTGGAGCCAGGAAATGAAGAAACATTTCCTGCCAGCAGACCTGTGTGTCAGACCATTATTAAAGATACACGCAGGCAGTGGTTCTGAAACTTATTTTTGATCATACCCGCCTTCTTTGTGTCTGTAGTCATTTACCCCCGCCCTCCCCCCCACTTCTGCCATACAAGTACAAATACCTCCACGCACCTCCAAAGGCAGATCAGGGAGTGGTGGCTGGCTGGGCACCCAGCTCTGAAGGCAGCACCACTGCCAGCAGCAGTGGAGAAGTAAGGTTGGTATGGTATGGCATTGACACCCTTACTTTTCCGCTGCTGCTGGTGGCGGCGTTGACTTCAGAGCTGGGTGCATAGTCAGCAGCCGCTGCTGTCTGGTTGCCCAGTTCTGAGGGCAGAGCAGCTTCTCACATTCCCCCAGAATACATTCCATGTTCCACGGGGGGGGCCGGAGGGGCACATCCCCGGTTTCAAAACTACTGTGCCCAGGTAAAAGAATTTCTGGCTGTACTATGGAAGTGGGGGTTACTGGTTGTAGTTGGGCTCATCTTTTGAGGATGGAAATGGATTATGGATCCGTTTTGCGGAGTGTGAGACAGGGGTTACCTCTTTGGGTATTGCCTGTAGTGGGGTTTGCTCTGTAGAGAATATGATTATGAAGGGGGTCTATCTTTGGAGGGTGGTTCCTGGCTGTAATGTGGTTCCTCTTTTGGGGGGACAGTTTGTAATTGGGACTTTTCTTTGGAGGGACTCTTGACAGAAATGGGAGTTTGGGGTTTCCTCACATCAACAAGGGTATTCTTCTCTAGGGGCAGTGGGAATGATTAATGGGATTCCTTATATTTGGAATAAGAAGGAATCTTGGTTAATGATAGTGGTTCCTCTTTGGAGGGAAGAGCTTAAGAACAGAAGAACATGGCCATACTGGGTCAAACCAATGATCCATCTAGCCCAGTATCCTGTCTTCTGACAGTGGCCAATGCCAGAGGGAATGAACAGAACAGGTAATCATCAAGTGAATTCCTTATTTGTGGTTATTTATTAACCTATCTGCAGTGTTTAAAACTACACATCTGGTTTATAAGGTTGCTTTAGCCTACTGTACTCTGTTCCCAAGTTCAGTACCTTGCATTGATGGATCCTCTAGGCCAAATCCTACAGTCTTCCCCAGACAAAACTCCCACTTAAACCAATGACAATGTTGGCTGTGTTAGAACTACATGATATAGCCCATTGTGCTCAGCTTCAGAGCTCAATATGGCACAGAGCACCATAAATATAAGAAGAAAAGCTCGGTGGAGCTCGAAAGCTTGTCTCTTTTACCAACAGAAGTTGGTCCAATAAAATATATTACCTCACCTACCTAGTTTCTCTCATATCCTGGGACCAACAGGGCTACAACAATAACATTGCACCATAAATACAGGCAATCGGGATCAGGGCCTGCCTTTGCATGGTTAACCAGGCATTAGCACGGCAGCAGTTTTCAGTCAAGATGAATAGGTCGCTATTGATGGAGCTGTTGTTTCAGGCTCTATGCCAACTCAGGTTTCAGTTGCAGACAGGCCATGCTACTAAGCTTCTTCTTCACATCCATGAGGGCTAGAAACATTTGTGCAAAATAAAAAGAAAGTCTGATTTCAGCACATGACTCCAGCACAGGCCTGTAGGGCTCGTCTCTTCATTCAGCCTTGTGGCGTACTCTGTCTTTCTTATAAAGGAAGTTTAAATAGAACCTTCTAGCTAAGAAATGCTCAACAGGCACCAGCCTCCTCATGGAACTGATTCGTGTGCTAGGAGTTTTCCTCATTTAGGGAGGTGCTACTAGAGTTGGGAAGAAGTTTTCAACTGAAACCTCTTTCAGCAAAAAAATACTGATTTGGGTCAACCAACACATTTTGCAAATTCATATCAATTTTGGTAAAAAAACAAACAAACCCTAAAAATGTTGAAAAAGTCGAAATGTTTCATTTTGACATGAAAAGTTTCAACTTTTCCTTTCAAAATTTCCTTTAATTTTATAAAACATCAAACACTCAAAATCTAAATGAAAAGTTTTTGTTTTGGGTCAAAATGATTTGATCCAAATGATTTTTTTTTTGTGCTTCACCAAAAATTCTGAAAAAAAATTGGTTTTGGGTTGACCTGGAAGGAAAAATTTGTAATGATTTTTTTCAGAACTGCCAGTGAACTGAAAATCCATTATTCACACAGTTCTGCCTACAGCCTATTGAGATCTGTCAGTGTTTTTTGTGCAAATGCCTAGACCAGTCAGCAATGTAATTGTTACTATATGCAGACATTGTTAAAAAAATCTTTTAAAAAAATATATTGTGTGAATTTGTTCCTTACGGAAGTGAGGACCTGATGCCATTGGTGGGAGCCTTCCAGCTAAGGGCTAACGAAGTTTCCCAATTCTTATCGCTGATTCAGCAAACCCTATGGCAAAATCTGAGTGGGTAGAATTTTAAATTTCTGATGTTCTAAGGCAAAAAAACCAAGAACCCCAACCTTTTTTTTTAATTAAAAAAAATAAATAAAATCTTTCTTCTTCGTACATCACAAAGAAGCAAAGAAGGACACAACCCCACTTTTTTCCACTTTGCAGGTCACCTTTAAGTGAAATGGTTTTATACCATGGTCTCGTGACTATGATCAGACCCAAATCGAGTGGGCCAAATTAATCTTTGGTATAAATTCCCTGAATTCATTGGAGTTATACCAGGGATTAATTCTACCCATTTTGTACTTGTGACCTACTGGTAAACTAGAATATGACTAGCTATAAAAAAATTAATGTAACAACCACTTACCCTAAAGACATTGCTAGTTCACTTTGGCTATTTATGTTTATGGTTTACACTCATAGGAATGAGACCAAGAGCAAATCTCACTCTATCTTGGCTAACCTTACACTGTTAATTAAGTAAACTTCATTATCCAATAGAGGACTGGATAAACCTGGTGTTTTATGGTGATATTTACGTTAAAAAAGCCACACTTTCTCTAATCCGAGATTAACTGGGAAGGCAGCAGGTTTCCAGTGAGAATCCTACCATCATGCAAACTATTTCCACAATGGCACAAGTTACAAGATACTTTATTGCTTAAATTTCGGTTTGCTGCAGCACTTACATAATCCATATAGG